TGTATGTCACTCAGTGTGGAGAACACTTTTAATCTGATTACAAAGTTGACTTTGGTATATGTTTGAGTAGTGGTGATCTGTAACTAGTGACATAGCACCATTTTAGTATTTTGCATTCCAAAGTTCTAGGTGCAAAGATCCCTGGTCATGCGTAATTTCATTTTACTGATACCTCAGTAATAGAATATTGGTGTGTGTTCATTAAGCATGGTTATTTCTGAAGCCATAAGTAGTTACTAGTTTCAGGGGAGAGAAAAAAGTCCAATAATGTAGTTTAATAATAATGTTAATAAATGTGTTTTTCCTCTTTCTTGATAAATAATTTTACTTTCCTGGATTTGGCTCATTTTATTTCTCTTTGGTATCTGACATGTAGAATCTGGTTAAAGCTCAATTCTTAGTTTTATGCTGCATTTGCATCATATTAGACAAATATAGAGCTTTACTTTATGGGAAACTTTTAATGCCGTTTTCTTAATTGTTGTGATCTTTTTGTGTGTTTGTCTGTGTAGCTTGCACCTTCTCTTCCTTTACAAGAAGACTTTGTTTATCACTGGAAGGCAATTACCCATTACTACATAGAGACTTCGGGTAAGAAATAATGCTGATATTAACTAAACAGAATATTTGAAATACCAAAATATATTTCAGATAAATTTTCAAAGTCATTTTATATTTAAGATTATAAAAATTTTTACCTTTAATTCATCTTTTAGATTCATTCATTCTTTTAAAAATATACCTATTAAGCACTTACTATATGTCAGGCATTGTTCTAGGCACGGGGCACCAGGGGATAGAACAGTCAATCAAACAGGCAGCTTCACTGTCTTAGTAGAACTTATGTATTGACTGGGGGGAGGCAAACAACAAATAGACAAATACATGATAAGTGTTAAGGAGAAAATGAGGCAGATTAAGGGGGTAGAAGTGTGTCTGTGGAGATGTGGGGATAGTGATGGGCAATTGGCTGTTTTAGGTTAGAGAAAGTCTCATTGCCCAAAGTGACCCTGAGCTGAAATCTAAAGGAGAGAGAAAGCAAGCCTCCTGGATATCTGGGGGGAGAGTGTCCCAGGATGGTGACTGAGTGTACACACCTTGGGGCTGGAGCATGCAGAGTGCTTGGTGCTCAGGAACTGAAAGGAAGCCAGTATGGCTAGAGCAAAGGGAACAAAGGGAAAAGTAGTAGGAGATGAAATCCTGATTGTATATCGACAAAATAAAATTTAAAAATAAAAAATAAATAAATAAAATTTTAAAAATAAATAAATAAAAGAAATCAGACAGGGGGTGTGATGTGGGGGAGGGGAGCCCGTGCAGATTCACACAGGGCCTTGTAAGCATTGTGAGGGCTTCAGGTTTTATTCTAAGATGAGAAGCCTTTGGAGGGTTTTGAGTAGAGCTATAACAATCTGTTTTAAAGCAACACTTTGGTATCTGTGAGAAAAATTAGATGAAAGGTTACAGGGGTGAAACTGGTAGAACAGTTAGGGTATTATTGCAGAGGTCTAAGCAAGAGAGAATAGTGGCTTAGACCGGGGTGGAGGTGGTAAGAAGTGATTGTATTTTGGATATATTCTGAAGGAAGACTTGTTGATGAAGAGTATATTGCTATGAGGGAATGTGAATCAAAGATAACTCCAAAATTTTGTGCTTAAGCAGTTGGAAAACTAGAGGTCCTACTTACTGAGAATGGGAGGACTGCAGGATTAGCAGGTTTGTAAGAGCATTTTGGACATGTTAACTTGTCCATTATGTATACAATTGGACATGTCAAGTCGACAGTTGGCAACAGGAGTCTGGACTTGAGAGTAGATGTATAAACTAGAGATACAAAATAGAGTCATCAGCATGTGAAGAGGATAGATAGCCGTGAGACTGAATGAGATTATCTATGGTGTAAAGGTGGATGGGAGAGAGAAAGGTGTTCAGGAGCTGAACTCTTGGACTCGATGTTGGGAAATGAGGACAGTAGCAAAGGAAATTTTGCTTTTACGAAGGAGGTAGAAGACAGCTGAGAGAGAATGGTGTCCTAGAAGCCTAGAAGAGGAGATCATTAGTGTTCTTGATAAGAGCCATTTTAATGGTGGGAAGGGGAGAGGTGGCCTGATTGAATAAGCTGAAGAGAAGATGGGTGGAAAACATGTATAGGCAATGTGTATACAATGCTCTCTTGAAGAGTGTTAGTGTAAAGGAAAGCTGAGAGGGAGATGTGGCAGTAAGGGAGGGTTTTTCGTTTTTTTTTAAAGATATAAGATATTGCAATTTATAATTTGATAGGAACAATCTACTAGAGGAAAAGGTGGATACAAGAGTAAAATGAGATCATTCCTGAGCAAGTAGGCATCATTTCCTTAAGTACACAAGAGTGGATGGGATCTAGGGCACAAATGGAGGCTTGGCCTTAAGTAAACATGTGGACAGTTCATCTAAAGAAGGCAGAAAGCAGAACAAGGATATAGATACAGGAAGCAGGTAGGTGTGGTGTAGGGAGGCTTTGGAAATTATCTTCTGGTTGCTTCTATTTTTCTTTGTGAATGGGAAGGATGAAGAGAGAGTATAGGGAATATGAATAAATTAGATCAAGGGTTGGCAAACTTTTTCTGTAAAGGGTCAGCTAGTAAATATTTTAGGCTTTGTAAGCCATATAGTCTCTGTTCAACTATTCAGCTCTGCTATTATAGCACAAAAGCAGCCATCAACAAAATGCAAAAGAGTGAGCATTCCTTTGTTCCAATGCAACTTTATTTACAAAAACTTATGGCGTGGCTGGATTTGGCCCATGGGCCAAAGTTTGGGAACCGCTAAAATAGGAACATACAATACATTGCTGCATAGCACTATGGGCTTCCTTGAGGAATGTATTGGTGAACACTAGTGCATATGCAGATTGGACACTTGTCATTTAATAAAAAGGAAACTTGAAAAAATGAGAACAGTTGATTTGGCAAGCTGATGGGGTCATAGGTGATTCATCTTTAAAAGAAGAAAAATCTTTTATATTTGTGTAATAAGTACAAATCAGACAGAAAAAAATACGTATCTTTAAATGTAAAAGATAACTTCTAACTGCATATGGGTGTCTAGCCAGCAGATCTAACAGAAGTGTTTTTTGGAAGGAGCTGCCTTTTCAAAAGACAGTTCTTAGCCCTACTGATTCCCCCTCTCCCCCTCGTGGCTTTGAGGAAAAGCATAAATTTAGCTACAGAAAGAAGTGTGTATATTACAGTCAAGTATGGGACAAATAACAAAGTGTGTGTCAGGTAGAGAGAGAGGACAAAGCAGGCAGAAAGAGGAGGAGGGGGTCTCTGACCTGGGCTTTAAAGGCTGAATAGAAGTTTGCAAGGTAGATAAGGAGGGTAAAGGCATTTCAGGTAGAAGGAACAGCATATGCAAAGGCACAGAGGCATTTACAGTTTAGGAATGATGAGAGTAGATGGCAGGAACTAGATCTTGTCTTATAAGGAGCTGGGATTTTAATCCTGTGAAGTCAAATTTACAGTTAACTTATTTCTCAATTTGAAGCTTCTGGTCATTTCCCCCCATATGTAAGTACAATCAAACCATCCTTCAACATTCATTCTTTCCTGGAGTGTTTGTGTATATAAAGCCTGCAATTATAGGGGAAAAAACATTTTTAAAAAATAAATTACAAGTAAACTTACAAATTATCTTTGATTTGTAAATAATGAGTGCTAGGCTACCCATTTTAGAAGAATATGAAATGAGACATAAGTTAACATTTCTTAAGTTCTTACTATGTGCTACGGCACTGGGCTTTACAGATATTATTTTATAGAAATCATACAATGGCGCTTACTGGTGTTTATTAGTTCAGTTTTATAGATGTTGGTGACTGAGGCTTAAATAAATTGCACCTCGTCATCTAGCTAAAAGTGATAGAGCCAAGACTTGAATCTAAGTTGTCTAATTCCAGGGCCCATGCTTTTAACAATGGTCCCATACCATATCAAATTATATACATATGCCCTTCTGGGAAACAAGAGTGACCCTTTCCATTGGTTTTTCCATAAGGGTTAGTATTATGGTTTATTTTGTGTGTGTATATATAGATGTGCCTATGTACAAAGCAACACATCAATACATAGCATACCAGGATCGTGTTGTACAAACTAGAAGTATTAAGAAAATGACAGTAGAGACAAATAAGAACTTGGCGTTTTCTAATATATTTTGTATTTAAATATTCTATAAAATTTCACATTATAATAAGAGTAACTTAACCCTTGTCCAATAAGGATAGGTTGGTAAAACTGTGTGATTTTCAAGTCTCACTGTGATATGTTAAAAATATCAAGAAATTTTTATTTTAAAAAACCAATAATATTTAATAAAAATTTTCCTGAGAAACAGCTTAGAAAACAGACTTTGGGAATAGCTGTCTGTTAATGAGAGGAGGTGTCAGAAATTTTAATAGAAAGTTTTCCTTTGACTTCTCATATTTTTATAGGTGGAAATGGGTTAGGAGCATTAAGTGACTAGCTCCCAATGTTACAAAGTAATGTAGAAGCAATCAAAAACAGACCCTGTCCTCTTCACTATCCTGTTTTATTCAGCTTAATAATCAAGGCCAATCTGTTTCTATATAAATAGACTTAAAATTTAGATGTTCTGAACTGGCTAAGTAAAAAAAGAATAATTGTACATAGAAAATTTTGATGTTATATGTGTTTTTCCTGATCATGTTCCTATTTCCATAAACGGCTCTTATTTCTAAGTTATTATGGATTAATTTTAGCTTCTAGAATAAATTTCAGAATATTGATTCAGTTTTTGAATGAGAGTATGGCAAAAAGCATCATCTAAATTCTAGCAAAGATAATCATTACCATGTGTATAGACCTCACTTAAGTATGTAGTTCAGATTTTTCTCAGTGTTAATAGGAATGGGGAAATACAGAGAATATTTTAGGTGCAAATATGCAGTTTAAAATGTTTGAATGTTTGTTTGATGAGTGTCTTTTATTGTTTAGACGATAAAGCCCCAGTGACTGATACGAACATTCCATCCCATCTGGAACAGATGTTAGACATACTGGTTCAAGAAGAAGATGAGCGGGAATCTGGAGAGACAGGGCCATGTATGGAATACTTGCTCCATCACAAGATCTTGGAAACATTATACACTTTAGGGAAAGCTGATGTAAGTTCCTAATCCATGTGGTGTTCTCGGGTATGTAATAAATGCATTAGTGTCTTAGAGATGAAGAAGCTGCCAAGTACTGAATTTAATTATAGAGGTACATATTGAACATGGCAGGATTCAAGTTAAGATAGTGGAAAAAAAAGAAACGTGGCTTATGCAGATATGACATCCATAGAGATAGCAAAGCTCCCCGCATGCTCACATGCTCTAAACAACAACTGATATGTACGTTTAGAATTCCATTGTAAACATTTCTGAAAATCACCTCAGTTACATGTGCTCAGAATCAAAGGAAATGAGAAAAAGAACCCTGTGAAAATTGGGTTACAAAAAAGGCATTATTTTTATAGTCCTGTAAGAGAATGTTATTGACTATTCTGACATTAACTCAGCTGATGAATGGAGCCAATTCAAACTTTCAGGCCTAATGAATTATGGAAAAGCCTTTGCAAAGCTCATATAATGTAAATAATATTTTGTATTGCAAAACTTTCAAATTACTTACAAAGGCGAGTTTTCAAGCCACGTGGTGGTGTGAGCCTTGGGTTGTTAGGCGGCCTGGGCCTGACTTCGTCAGTAACACACTGTGACCTTTGGCAAGTCTCCTTGGTTGATCTTCCTCCTTTTTAAAAACAAGGAGGTCATTGCTGAGGGGCCTCCCTCAACTCTAAAAATCTGTGGTTCTTGTTCTTTGAATTTCTATAATATGTGTGAACAATCAAAACAAAAAAACTAATAGACACATTTTAACAACAAATAGAGGTATGAATAGTAATATTAAAGACAGTTTCCTTCTCACTAAGTCTGTCATACTCCAATTTACTTTTAAGTTAAATTCACTTAATTTATTTTTTCTAGGTAACACATCTGCTTCTTAATAACCTGCAATTCATTCTCCTCCTCCCTAGAGGGCTTTTATAACACTAAATTGAATAAGTATTAATTGATTTTTGAGCAAAAAGTACCACTAGTAAATTTATTTTGATATAGGTGATTGTAAATAGTATTTATGTTTTATGTGGATAATGAAAATATTCTTTGCCCATAATAATTATCATGTAAATAATTTTGCAACTATTTTAAAACAGTATTGTTAGAATAAATCACAACAGTCTATACCACAGGATTCCTTTTATTTACAGATATGTGCTGGGGGCTTTATTTACTCCTACATATATATGATGGAAAGTTATTGATTACCTGTCATTCATATAAGAAACAAGATTCTGCCTTTGCTCTGGCAGAGTTAACTATGATAGTTTCATGTTACACCAGTATTTAGAATATAAACGGGTCGACATTCCCTGAAGGAAACCCTAAATCTCAACAACATATTATTACCATCCTCTTTGTTATTACAGGAGCCTATGGTTTCATATGCTATATTGTGGTCTCACATGTATAATTTTATTTCTAAAATGCCAGTCATTAATGTTTGATTGAAAATTTTATTCTGACCAAGTCATTAACCAGCCAATTGCATTGTCTTTTCAGGGTGGAATGCATTCATATATATTATCCCATTTTTTAAGCTTTCGAGTAAGTGTGTTTGTATTGTCTGTTCTTTTCTTGTTTGCTTTCCTTTTTTCTTATACCTAGTGTCCTCCAGGAATGAAGCAGCAGGTTTTGGTATTCTATACTAAACTCCTGGGAAGAATCCGGCAGCCGCTACTACCGCACATTAATGTGCACCGGCCGGTGCAGGTATATTGTTCCCCTATTATTTTGGTTTGATTTCTTCTCATATAGAAATAATTTTATATGATTTTTTTCTAAGAGTAAACCTAAAAATAGTATGCAAATTAGTGAATACTTGAGCTTTCCTTATGTATGACATTGTATTAAGTGCTTTTTATGTCTTTATATTTCTCTTAAAATTTTATGTTAATTTTCCTTTTACTGTACCTCCATAACATCTCAAGGAGAGTTTATTATATACCTCATTAATTTTTTAGGGTATAGAACTTGAGAAATGTACTTCTAGTAAATTTATTTTGATAGAGGTGATTGTAGATATTTTTAGTGTTCTGTCTGATTATTATTGCAAGGCATTTGCATTATTTGAAAATTTTAAATATCTCTTAGGTAAATGGATGGTTATTTACATACTTGTAAAAAGTAACCTAAGTTTAAAAACTTTTAAAAAAATTTTTCGCAGAAATTAATTCGACTCTGTGGTGAAGTCCTTGCAACACCGACGGAAAATGAAGAGATTCAGTTTCTCTGTATTGTGTGTGCAAAACTGAAACAGAATCCCTACTTGGTTAATTTTTTCCTGGAGGTATGGTACACTACTCATCAACCTTCAAAGTACATTTAAGATCATTATGCAAATTGAATTCAGTGAATAATATTAGAAGAAGTTATATTTTGTGGGTTATCAGATAGCTTGTTTTACTTCCCAGTACTATTTTTTATGTAAGATCACTGTTTTATTCTCACTTGAAATCTCCCAAGAAAAAAGATTTTCTAAGAATGCAGTTGAACCAGATATATGGGGCAGTACAGGATTGAACAGATACAAAGCCAAGACATAGAAAGAGTGTAGCTTAAAGGGTGAGTCAGGGATAAAGCAGTCACAGAAGTTTATAAGCTTTCATATTAGCAGCCAGACTTGCTCCAGTGTGTAGTGTGGGTAATCTGGCATGGGGTCAGGATGACATGTGTAGATTTGGACAAGATGTATAAAAAAATCACAAGTTATTTCCCTAACTTCATATAGTAGATGGATCGCTCTAATATTTTGTACTGCCTTTTTTTTTTTTTTTTTTTTTTTTTTTTTTTTTTTTTTTGTCCCGCAAAGGGGGCCCAACACCCCGGGCTCCTCCCCCCCCCCCCTCGCCCGGCGGGGGGGGGGGACCCGGTCTGTATGTGGGATCCGACCCCTGGGCGGGAGCGCCTCCACACTCCCAAGCGGCGCACTGTAGCAGTGCGCCACCGGGCCGGCCCTGCCAAACAGTTTTCTACAGTGGCTTTATCAACAATGCATGTGAGTTCCTGTTGTTCCATGTCCTCATCAGCACTGAGTGTTGTCAGGTGATTGTTTTTTTGTTTTTTTTTCTTTTTTTTAAATATTAGCTATCCTATATAGGTTTGTTTTCTGTTACACGTTACTGAATGAGTAATTTAGGATCCTATTCTGCACTCTTAATGGAGGTAGGTAGGTAAGCAGCAAAGCTGCAAAATGCATAAATTTAAATTTCTAGGTAGGACTTTCAAGCTAAGAAGTATGAATGCCTGTTTTTCGTGATGTCCATCATATTTTATACCATCCTTTGCAAGTTTGCCTCAAAATGGCTAGAATAGTCTTATGATTTCAGATTTTTAAAGATTTATTTAAAAGGGTGGTATTATAGTTCTTTTAGTTTTTGTTATTTTTATAAGAAATATCTCAGTTTGGCTAAGTATGAGATTTTTCTTCTCAAAGTTCATTTTTGCTAACGTTTTCTTAGTTACCTTAGTGTACTTTAGATGCATGGATTTTTTCCCAAACTTAAGCTTGAAGGATTTCTTTCCCAAAATCTCTGAAACTTGTTTCAGAAGTACAGAACTGTAGATCAGAAGAGGAAATTTGCAGGCATGTGTATGTTAATGGCAAGACACACTTTACGTACCTGTCTTCAGGGAAACATTTACACATCACTACAAAGAACACCCTTCAGAATTAGTGACATGTCTGCTTTATGCAGCATGTTTATAGCACACATTAATCCAAAGCCTGAGATGGTAGGTTATCTCCATTTTCTGAACTGATAGGACAGTTGATACACTTTTAATGTCAGTTATAAGTCTCCCTAATGAGAGTTATTTATGTGCATTTTATTTTCTCCTGCTGGTCAATAAGCTCCTGGAGGACAAGGACTCTGTCTTGTTAATCCTTGGGTCCCCACAGCTTCACTAGTATCTAGCATAAGGCATCATAACTGCTTAATTAACACTTATGAATAAAAGACTCTATAGGGAAATGCAGTTTTATTTCTTGTAGGTATAGATACAGAAATAGTTTGCAGTTCTCAAGCATGTATCCCCTGAAATCTAATAATATGTTCATTTATATCAGCCAATGTATGTATCTGCAGTGAGATAAGTACACATGGTAGATGACTTAGAAATAGGCTTTGCCATCAAGGAGTTTATGGTCTGGCAAAAACGGCAAGATGAATGTTCAGATACCGTGACCTCAAATAGACTCAGGTGAGAATCCTAAGAAAGATAGAGTAAATGCCGTAAGTGTTCATAGGATGAAGAGATGATGTCTGCTCTAAGTCATCAAGAAAGATTTCTTGGAAAAGGTCATCTTTGAAATGAGCCCTGATAAATGTTTAAATAAGAATGAGTGAACGAAAGTATAAAAGTTTGGTATAATTAGGATATGTGGTAAGAACCAGAACAAATAGACCAAGGGTTGTCAAAGGCTTTGAATGGCAGGGTGAGGAGTTTGTGCTTACTCACAGACACTGGGGGCCGGTGACAGTTTTTGAGCAGGGATGTTAGTTATTATGTGATGGTCTGTTCCTTAAGAAGTTAAATTGGTGGCAGCATTTTATACATTGGACTCCTTTAAGAGGAGAGAGGGCAGCAGGGAAACTGACTTGGAAGCTGGTGGAGTAACCCAGACAAGAAGTAACAAGGACTATAAGTTGAAAGCAGTGGGTTGGAATGAAGTGGGTGTATTTGGGAGACTAGAGGTAGATTCTGTACAGTCTTGTAGTTGCTCAAGTGCAGGAAGCAGAGAAAAATGATTTGAATGCTTGAATTCCTGAACCTATAAGTCTGCGGCTAGTGGAAAGAAGGGAACCCATAGGGAGCTTATTTTAAGGGGAAGATGGTAATTTTGGTTTTGGATTCTTTGAGTCATCATGATATCCTGATGGAGATAATTAGCAGGTATTTGATATTGCACATCTGTGATTTGGGAGAGAAGTCTGGGTTTAAGACATTTGGGAGTTATGTGCATAAATGTGCATGGTACCAATGAGATCCCTAATGCAGAAGGTAAACAGTCCTCGTAGGAATCAGTGTTAAGAATTAAGGCAGCAGTTCCTCATCTCCTAGGGAGCTTTTGTAAAATGCAGATTCCTGGGCTCCACCTCCATAAATTGTCATTCAGCAGGTGTGGATGAGACCCAGGAATCTGCACTTTTTTCAAATCCCACAGAAGACCAGGATGCCAACAGTCTTGATCCAAACTTTGAGAAACACTAGTGTAGGGAGTGAGGGTTATGCTAAGATTGATCTTCCTCTCACCCTTCTTATTTGAGACAACTCTCTGTGTGATATTGCTAGTATTTTAGATGGAATAAAATGTTTTACTTTCATAAAGGCTATGATATGCAATTGATTTTGTAGGAAATTAGCAAATTGTTTGCAGTATTCACTGAATCCCATAGAGTTGTTTTATTTTAATATGTGTGCTGTGAGCTCAATTTCTCAAAAAGATTCATCTAAACTATACTTTTAATGGAAATAAAAGTGATTTATAATTACTATGATATAACTTTGAAAGCAGGAACTTGAATTCATTTAGTTTTTAATGTGTTTCTATGATGAGCATGGAGCTGCGATAGGCCCGTGGAGAAACTAGTTTATGATGAATTTTAACTTGTGTGTGTAATTTGATTTTTACTCTTATGTTCAAATGGAAAGCAAGATACTTTTGCCTGGAAACTAGTAACTTGCATAAGTTAAGACTTTCTTTGCATTTGGGTGTATGCATAGATATGGGGGCACCAATATTTCAGGTAAATCTTACTTCTTATCCTTAAAGACAGTAATAAAAATATCCTGAGAGTAGTTTCTTGTGTTCTTTCTATAGAGCAGAAGTATAAGGAAGAAACTTAGAAAAAGTTTTTTATATATTTAAGAGAATTTGGGGACTTTTGTGGAAACCTTAAGTCTAATGTTGGTAACTTTTGAACTTTAAAATATATTTATTTGTATGTTTCCACTTTTCCACTGTGATCTTAGAAGAATAAACATTGAGGCTATGTGTTTACAGTAGCCCAGTGATGAGAAAAAATTTAGCTGCAATTGAAACTTTTTTTTCCTGCTGATATTTGTTGTTTTAGTAATAGCCAAATAGTTATCACTAATATTGTCCATTGCTTATGGTCTAAAACATTTTGTAGTTAGTACAAAGATTGTCATCAACTCCTATGCAATTGTAAAATTACTCTGAAACACAGTTTGTTGGAAATTTGATTATTCTCATTTGACATAACACTTATTGCTACTTTTGTTAAGCATGTAGAATGTTAATTATAGAAAAAATTATTAAAATATGATTTCCAGCTTAAAAGTCTTGATGTGACTCTTATAAAACATGTATTCATTTTCAGAATAAGTTGAAATCATTGGCTTCCAAAGGAGCACCAAGTGTAATTTCAGAAGACACATTAAAAGGTCAAGATTCCTTGTCAACAGATACGGGACAGTCCTGTCAGCCAGAGGAGCTGTCTGGTGCTACTGGAATGGAGCAAACAGAGTTAGAAGATGAGCCTCCTCATCAGATAGATGACCTGTCCTCAAGCTTGGATCACCTCAGTGTCACTTCACTGTCAGAGGCCTCAGTTGTTCGTCCAAACCAAGATTACAATTTAGTGAATTCTTTGTTAAATCTTACTAGAAGTCCTGTGAGTCATCCTCTTTACTTTTTTCCCCTATTGTGATCACAATAATATGCATTTAAAATAGAAAAAAAAAAAATCTATTCTTTTACCGTAAAACATTAAATCTTTTTATGTTGAATTTTTCCAAACTTAATGTATATCTAATTCAAGAATTGAAGGGGTATGTATTTTCCCCCCTCAGGATGGCCGGATAGCTGTGAAAGCATGTGAGGGCCTGATGCTGTTAGTGAGTTTGCCAGAGCCTGCGGCCGCCAAGTGCCTCACTCAGAGCACCTGCCTGTGCGAGCTGCTCACAGACAGACTCGCCTCCCTGTACAAGGCCCTACCTCCGTCGGTGGATCCGTTAGATATTGAAACAGTGGAAGCAGTTAACTGGGGGTAAGCACCAGGATTTGTATTTTCCCATAAAGGTGACTACATTTTAAAAGGCTTTAGTTTTGAAAAATGTCACACTACTAGTGGGAGTTTTTTGTTGAGTCTTGTATTAAATTTGTTATCAATCAGCAGTGACAAATTAGTATGTTAACCATCCAGATGTTAGACAGTGAAGCTACTTTTATTTGTTCATTACTCTGATCAATTTTTAAGGGCTTACCTAAGACCAATAACTTTACCTGAGTTATTTTTATTAATTCCTCTAAAAGAAGGAATTCCTTTTTTTATAAGTCATTCCCATAGCCTCTAGGGCAGTCTCCTGAGTCTTATGTCCTGCTTATATAGAATCTCTCCTCCTGCCTCATTCTTTCACCCCCTCTAACACCTAGTAGGGCTCCCCTACTTGATTCTCACAGGAAGATATGATTATTGCAGAACATTTATAAGTTATTAAAGAGTATAATGTAGCATTAAAAAAGTACCCATAATCCCACCACCTATAAGCAGCCTAATATTTTGACATCATAACATCTATAGGGCAGACTCACTTGCTAACATTAGGACTGTGTTGCATTTTAAGGCAGGAAGAGAAGCAGACCAGTCACTATTTCTTTTTGTAGGTCCTCCTTTACCTTCCTTTTCTTACCTCCCAGCAGCTGAGAACATCACCTTTTCATTGCTATTACTTGGTCAGATTTATGATGAGTATGAGGAGCCAAGTGGTTTTTCTCCTGCAGCTCCATTCAGCAGGAATTCTGCTTTAGTCTCTCTCTTCTCACTTAATGAGTAAAAATGATTTACTACTTTTATTTAAAAGGTTTCTCTTATCTTTGGCTTCTTTTAAAAAATCTATCTTTTGATTGTCGTCTAGCATTGTCTGTGTGAATATACCATACTCTGTGAGTTCATTCATGTGCCTTCACTTTTCCATATGTACTGAATAGCGTTCTTGCTTTTGGATAACTTTGGACTTAACATTTCTTCCATGTCCTACAGCTTGGATTCATATAGTCATAAAGAAGATGCTTCAGCATTCCCAGGGAAACGAGCCTTAATTTCATTTCTTTCCTGGTTTGATTATTGTGACCAGCTCATTAAGGAAGCACAAAAGGTTTGAATTTTTTTGTTGGTTACTGATAATATTTAAAATGTACATGTCTATTAAGTGAAATTCAAATCCCTAGTTTATATCCCCAAATATATCTTAATTATCTTAGGATAGCATAGTTAGTAAAACAGATAAGACAAAGAAGTGTGTGTGTGTATCATAATTCTGGCATAAATCAAACTTCAAGTTCTGTCCTTTCATACTTCTTTAAGTATTATGGTACAGCACTTCAGAAGGTCACATTAACTTCCCTCCAGTCCTCTTCTTTGGAGCGATGTTAATACTATAACATTAGTGGGATCATTTTTTGTCCTGTTCCTCTTGTTCTTGGAAACTTAGGGGAAAAAATGTAAACGACCCAATGGCTAACATCTAATCTAGGTTTACATGCCGTCACCAAGATGTACAATAGAGAAGTTTTGTCTTTCCAGAATAATTCAGATGGGGAGTGCAAACTGATTAATTGGTGTTACAAATTAATCTCTCTTTTCCATTAAAAAAAAGATAATGTTGCTCATACTGTATTCTAGACTGCTGCTGTTGCTCTTGCCAAAGCTGTGCATGAAAGGTTTTTCGTTGGTGTTATGGAACCTCAGCTAATGCAAACGTGAGTAGCCTCTTTCCTCACAAAAGAGAAGAAAAGAACGTCACGGTGTTCGTGTCATTTCGCCCACTAATTACCTGTTTATCGTGCTCAGTTCTGAGATGGGCATTCTGACGTCAACTGCTCTGCTTCACCGCATTGTTCGTCAAGTAACCTCTGACGTTTTGCTTCAAGAAATGGTGTTTTTTATCCTTGGAGAACAGAGAGAACCAGAAACTCTGGCAGAAATAAGCAGACACCCTTTAAGATACAGGTTAATCGAACATTGCGATCACATCTCTGACGAGGTAAGCTATGTAATGATGTGGAATTGGACGTAGATTCTTCCATATACTGATTTTAATATACTTGTGATAAGTACAGCCTAATTTTTATGTGGCTTTAAAAATTGAAAGCATGACTTACAAGATGGCAAAAAGAACAACTTATTTTAAGGCATTTTTCAGTTAGCTTTTATCAATTTTGGTTTCAGATAAGCATAATGACATTAAGAATGTTTGAGCATCTTTTACAAAAACCCAATGAGCACATTCTTTACAACTTGGTCCTAAGAAATCTTGAAGAAAGAAATTATACAGAATATAAACCTTTGTGCCCAGAAGATAAAGATGTGGTAGAGAACGGATTGATAGCAGGAGCAGTGTAAGTTTCCACCCAACCCCCTGAGTTCAGCATTTCATATAGAGTCGGAACTTTCTCTCTCCTCCTGTTTCTCTCCCTTACTCTTAAAAAAAATGCCTATAACAGTTTAAAAGCTTTTAAAAGTAAAATTTAGATGTCCTGATACTACCATCCCTTTAAATTACAAGTGATTTATGTATTCATTATGCTTAAAAACAAAATTATGTTCTTGTTTTTGGTAGTATAAAATGTTGTCTATATAATATAAATATGTTATTCCTTAATCCTTTATATTAGCGAAATTATGTAATATTTTCTAAGAACATAGCAGAGAATCTTTTAACTTAGAAAATGTCATAATAAAGTGTTGTTTTTATACATCATTAAATTAAACTTAGAGATCTGGAAGAAGATCCATTATTTACTGACATTTCACCAGATAACACTTTGTCAAACCAAGAGTGGCTTAGTGCTTCACCTCCTGCTACTCCAGACCACCCTAAAAATGATGGGAAAACTGAAGTCCATAAAATTGTAAATAGGTGAGTTGTTATGTAAATTTGACTTATATCTCTTTTACTTGTTTTTATAATAGGTAGTAGTTCTGCTCTTAGATTGTTACAGAAATATTGTTATGAACTCAGTCTTCTTTAAAGATTACCTTGGCTTTTCTGTCTTGCTTAGGTAACAAGTAACAGCCTTGGGGCAACAATTGATACCAAGAGAAAAGTCTACTTAATGTAAAAAATAAAAACAAATAACAGTAGTTAAATAAACCCTCAAATTACCCCACTTTTTAAAAATATAAATGATTTAATTTTAAGAAATTTCCAGTTGTAACAACATTGAGAATTGCTACTTTGACAAATTGTACTTATTAAGCGTGTATGCTTTTCCTTTCTGCATTTTTTTTTCCTTTTTGTCTTTTTTACTGACCGGTAATGGAATCGCAACCCTTGGTGTTGTGCCCCCACCGCGCTCAGCCAGTGAGCGGGAACCGGTCTGTATGTGGGATCCAAACCCTCGGCGGGAGCGCCGCCACGCTCCCAAGCGGCACACTCTCCAGTGTGCCACCGGGCCGGCCCCTTTTTGCATTTTTTTAAAAGTGTCCTTTCTATGGCAATTTTCTTCTCCCCGCCCCCCTCCCCTTGCAATACTGTCACTGATATGCCTGGTTCTGGTAACTTCAGAAAAAATGGCTTGTGGCTCAAGATGAAAAATTAGGGTACATAAAAATCTCAACTTCAATTACTTAAAAGCCAATTTTCTGCAATTAACAAATATCATGGCAATCTGTCATTGTGCCTCAATCTAAAAAGAAAAAAAAAAAACCTCTTTCTTAGGCTTCTATTTTAAGTGGAATTAATAATTTTTTAATAAAACCATTAAAATAATGAAAGAGTATTTAATCAGTGAATCACAAGACTGATTCAAGATAAGAACTTAATAGCATATAATTTTTATTTTTCAAATTTTCATTTGTATTAGTACTTGGCTAAAACTTAAGATATTACTAGAGTCTTTAATACATATAAATATATTATTGAGTTGTGAGAGGCTTTATGCTATTGATTATGGTCTTTTTCATTTAAGTTTTCTCTGTCTGGTACCGGATGAAGCAAAGTCATCCTACCATGTCGAGGGCACTGGATACGACACCTACCTCCGAGATGCTCATAGGCAGGTAAGTGCAGCAAGTTTTAAAAATCTAAAAGAATGCACACACACACACACACACATACCTTGTCACATTGCTCATAGCTGTTACGCCAAAGAAATGACTCCACTCTCATTAAAAATGGGACCTTACTCTGTTCTTAGTTTGCATTTCACTGACTGTGTGTCTCTACATGTCTCAAGATTTCTTTATGCTCTCTCTCTCTTTTGTTTCACATGAAACTGTATCTCACCTGGATCTATTCCCCTACCTGATCAGAAACATGATATCTTAATAATGCTACCCACCACCCACCCTGGCTCCCAGTCCACAGGCTGTTCTCCTGCTCCCTTCTCCCCCACATGCTTATGCAGACGGTAGGTGTTGTCCCTGCTGCCCAGCTCCTACTCCTCCATCCCCTGCATTCTGCCTTTTTACCTCATTGAAACTGCTTTCTCCAAGGTCTGCTTAGTTATTGCATTACATGGTCTTTTTTCTTTCCTCTCTATTGCATTTTACATTGTGAAGTGTAAAAAAAAGTATTACAAAAAAATTCCTCCTTTAAAAAAATTTCGTATTAAGATAAAATTCAATCTTTTAACTGTTTTAAAGTGTACAATTTAGTGGTTTTTAGTATATTCACAATGTTGTGCAACCGTCATCATAATCTAATTCCAGAACATTTTTCATCACCCCCAAAAAAAGCGCTGTGTGAATTAATCAGTCACTTCCTATTCCCTTCTCCTCCTCCCCAAGTCCCAGCCCTTGGCAACCACTTTCTGTCTTTATGGCTTTGTCTGTTGTGGACATCTTATATAAATGGAATCTTACTACTTGTGACAATTCATTCATGTTGTAGCAAGCATCAGTACTTCATTTCTTTTTATGGCTGAATAATTCCATTATAAGGATTTTTTTTTATCCACTTATCAGTTGATGGACATTAGGGTTGTTTCCACTCTTTCTTTTTTGTTGTTGTTGTTGTTTTTGGCCGGTACAGGGATTGAACTCTGGACCTTGGTGTTCAGCACCATGCTGTAACCAACTAAGCTAACTAGCCAGCTGTTTCCACTTTTTGGCTATTGTGAATAATTCTGCTGTGAACATTCCTTTAAAACTTTTTGTGTGAACATAGATTTTCAATTTTCTTGGGTATATGCCTACGAGTAAAACTACTAGGTTACATGGTAATTCTATAGTTAACTTTGAGGAGCTGCCAAAAAGAAACGTTGTGTGAATTAAGCAGTGTTTTTTTTTTTGTCCTTTTTGAGACCGGCCACACCACGCTCAGCCAGTAAGTGCTGTGAGCGCACCGGTCATCCTTATATAGGATCTGAACCCACGGCGGGAGCGCTGCTGCGCTCCCAGCGCCGCACTCCCCGAGTGCGCCACGGGCTCGGCCCTAAGCAGTGTTTTTTACAGTGGCTGTACGATTTTACGTTCAGCAGTGTATGAGGGTTCCAATTTCTCCATATTCTAACACTTATTATCCATTTTTTAAATAGCCACCTTAGTAGGTATGCAGTGGTATCTCATGGCGCTTCTCATTTACATTGCCCTAATGACTAATGATGTTGAGTACCTCTTCATGTGCTTACCAAACACTTGTATACGTTTCTTGGAGAATATTCAAATTCTTTGCCCATTTTTCATTTGGGTTATTTGTCTCTTTATTGTTGAGTTGTGAGAGTTCTTTATATGATTTGGATACTAAACCCTTATCAGATAAATGATTTGAAAATCTTCTACCATTTTGGGGGTTATCTTTTCACTTACTTGACAGTGTCCTTTGATGCACAAAGATTTTAATTTTGATGAAGTGCAACTTACCTATTTTTTCTTTGTGCTCTTTATGTCATACCTAAGAAATTATCACTTAATCCAAGTTCACACAGATTTTCACCTGTTTCTTTCTTAGGGTTTTATAGTTTTAGCTCATACATTTAGGTCTTTGATTCATTTTGAGTTAATTATGTGGTGTGAGGTGGGGTCCCGATTGAGTTTTTTACATGTTGATATCCAGTTGTCCCAGAACCATTTATTCAAAAAGCTATTTCCCATTTGTTGACTATAAATGTAAGGCTTATTTCAGAACTCTTAATTCTGTTCCACTGATCTATGTGTCTGTCTTTATCCCAGTACCACAGTGTCTTGATTACAGCAGCTTTGTAGTACGTTTTGAAATTGAGAAGTACGAGTCCTCTAACTTTGTTCTTCTTCCAGATTGTTTTGGCTGTTTGGAGTCCCTTACAATTTCATATGAATTTTAGGATTGCTTTTCCCATTTCTGCAAAAAAAGACAGTTGGAATTTTCATAAGGATTGCATCAGAGCTGTATATCAATTTGGGGAATACTGCCATCTTAACAACATCACATCTTCTGATTCATGACCACAGGGTGCCTTACCATTTACTCACGTTCTCTTTAATATTATTCAACATTATTTCATACTTTTCAGTGTACAGGTTAAATTTATTCCTAAGCATTTTATTCTTTTTGATGCTGTTGTAAACGAAATTGTTTTGTGAATTTCTTTTTCTGGTTGTTCATTGCTAGTGTATAGAAATACAGCTGATTTTTGTATACTGAACTTATATCCTCAACTTTGCTGAACTTGTTTAACACCTCTTATTTAAAACTTTATCCTTTTTAAAGCTTCTGCAGTGTCATTCCTTTCTGCTGCTGCTGCTGCTTTTATGTCTCAGGTGTCTTTTTCATCCTCTCCATCATATGATGATGTCACCAGAAAAACAACTATCATTGGCCCTCTTTTCTGTCTTCATTCCTTTGGCAGTCTTCTGGCTTAGCATTCATCTCTATTGTGAATTCCCTATCTGCAGTGTCTCCCAAGTTCTCACCCCACCTATTTAGATGTTCTTCTAGGACCTCAGACTTCATCTGTCCAAAGTAGAACGTATCATTGGATCTTCCAAAACTGCATCTTCTTCTTTGTTTTCTGCTGTGATCAGTGGCACATCAATCCTCCCGGTCACCCAAGGTGTGCGTTTCAGAGTTGTCTCAGATTCATCCGTCTTCCATTCTCCTTAGCTTCTTGTCCATCGCCAAGTCTTATCAGTTTTGCCATTAGCATATAGCTCCATATGTTCCCTGCTCCATTTTTACCTTCAGAACCCTAGTTCAAGTCTTTATTACTTTTTCTCTAGGATTACAATAGTCTTATAACTTGTCTCATCAGCTTATTCCTTCTGCTTAGAATCCATTAACAAATTAATCTCTTTGAAGTACACATCTGAGCACAATCACCCCTTCTTCTCCTTTATTAACGTAAATAAAGTCTAAATACTTAGATATCCAATCTTAGCATTCAAGATTCTTTTGGGTCACTTCCCCAGCCTGCTTTTCGGTCTTTATTTCTTCCTACAACTTTCACACTGTGTTCAAACATGACATTTACGTGCTTTTGCTGCTGCCATTCTGCTTGCCTAGAAGATTTTCTTCCGGTTCATTTTTCACGCATCATCTGATATCCACGTTTCTACCAGACTAAGTGCTCCCTTCTGCTTTATTCTCTTTCCCCTCTTCCTTCACTACCCTCCCCCGCTAGTAAACATAATTGCTCTTCTCCATGCCTGTGGCATTTTCTCTACATCTTCTGTGGACCTTTGTTTTATTTCTTATATTGGGGTTATAAGGTGATCAGTCTCTTGAGAGTGGGATTCATGCTTGATTTACCACCGAATCTCACAAAATATGTACCTTAGGGATCTATTCATTTTACAATATCAGTAACTAGTATTTGTTGAATAAATAACTAGAATAAAATATTTCAAAATTTGAACGTGAACTTCAAAATTTGAAAATTGCACATTTTGAAATTTCTCAAATCAGAAAAATATACATTTAATTTTTATTAAATCTTTTGAAGTGTGCTATTATATATAATTAATTTGCATATGCATATAGTTAATTTATAATCTTTAAGCCTGAATTCAGGTTCACATTAATACATGAATAACTAGAGCAATACTGTAGCAAGTAGCATTCATATAACAATTGAGTAAAGGCAGTAAAAAGAAAAAAATGCCTTAAATACTACCAATTGGATTTCTAAACTGTTTTTATTCTTTCTGAACAGTTTTTCTCATTTCCATTTTGTGATTACAAATGAAATTATGTCATTGTTTCAGAAATATTAGAAAACAGATAAAAAGGATAAAAAAATTGAAAACTCGGGCCGGCCCGGTGGCGCAATGGATAGTGCGCCGCTTGGGAAGCGCGGCGGCGCTCCCGCCCGAGGGTTCGGATCCCACATACGGACCGGTTCCCGCTCACTGGCTGAGCGAGGCGCGGGAGCAACACCGAGGGTTGCAATCCCGTTGCCGGTCCCCGGTCCGGTACGGGGGCAACACTGAGGGTTGCGATCCGTTGCCGGAAACGGAAAAAAGACAAAAGACAAAAAAAAAAAAAAAATTGAAAACTCAACTAGGTCAGAATTTCAGAGGTATTAATGTAAAAATGATTCATTAAAAATTGGGATGTGGCATTATACTTAAAGTTGTCTGTCGAGCCAAATAGTTTAAAACATAATATATTGAAGAAGTTGCCTTTTTAAAATTGTTTTAAATATGTTTTTCTTTTAAAAGTTGAAGTTAATGCTTCATGGTGAGATTATGCTGTTTTAATTTCCAAACTAGAGAGGTCAAAGTAATTTTGCTTTATTGAATAAGTAGAATCTGAAGAGAGAAAGAATATAGAAGGAAACAGTGCTCTAAATTTCTTTTGTTAAATTCGAGTAAATTACATATAGGGGAAGTCTTTTAAATTTATTTTTATTATAAGAGATAATTTTATTTTTATTTTTATTATAAGAGATTCTTCTGCTTATAAAAGTTCATATTGTTTATTCCAGTAATAATTATCTGTAGTGAAGGTCCAGTATTTTATTATTTCCAATCTGTCACAGACCGACACTTATAAAATACATTAACAAGGAGTTACTAGAAACATGAAAAGAAAAAAAGATTCAGCAGACGCAAAATCACTCAGTCAAATTGCTATGAAAGTCTTTAAATGCTTAGTTTTTCTTTTTTGTACTCATCTCATTGTGGATGCAGCAAATAGTTTGAGGACCAGCACTTGTCCACAGACCATCCTTTGAGTAGCACTGTTTTATCCTATTATAGAAACATGCCTAGTGGAAATACATTACAGGAATGTCAAGCTTGCTTTCTCAGATAACATGCATCTGTTCTATTACATGTAACATTTTAGAATAAATTTGAAAACTTGGTTAGTTAGGTCTTACATTGCTTTTTAGGTGTTCTTTAAATCTGTGATGAAAATAACTAAAGGGTTATATTCCTTTAAAGGAACAGCATAAGCACAGTTGTTAAAGGGGGTATTTTATGTCGGTCACTGGCGATTATAATCGTACCTGTGCCCCTAGCCAGGGAGTTATGTGAGTCTTCTCTCCTCTTCTCCCATTCAAATTGTTTTTTATATTAAATGGTTTTTTATGCCTGCTTGTGGAAATCATTTCTATTTCATCTCTATTTGTTTCTTGTTCTTTAATGATCCAAATGCTTTTTCCCCCTAGTTCCGGGACTACTGTGCTATCTGCTTAAGATGGGAGTGGCCTGGGTCTCCAAAAGCATTGGAAAAGTGTAATTTAGAAGCAGCTTTCTTTGAAGGTCATTTTTTGAAAGTTTTATTTGACAGAATGGGAAGAATTCTTGATCAGGTAATATGTTTTAAAATACTAATTTTCATATTTTGTTACCATTCACCATGGGATCAGGCCAAATCTTAGTTTATATCTCTACTAACGTACTTTTATTGTTTTCTTAGCTTTTGCACCAGATAACTTTTTCATAGAGCTTGATTGCCAACAACTGGTGGGTTTCTGACGTATTCAGTATGTTCAAAACATTTATTTGACCTGATAGCTGTTATAGAATTGTATATTTTACTTCTCATCATAGGCTATTGTCTTAATACCCTTAACACCTTTTGGAGGTGATTAGAGTATGTTCCTTTTAAGACTAACTTAGAAAGCCTTTTAGTTGGTACAGTTAATACAGATACAGATAGAGTGAAACTTGTTAAGCTCAATGCAGAAGACCCTAAATGTCATTTCAAGTTGAATCTTGGACACTCTGGTCTCATTAAAATTACAGAACAGTATTAGATGAACCTGCTTTTTCAGGCAAAGAATTTGTGAATGATACTCATTTTCATGAGGAGGTGAAATAAAAAAGGTGAATTTACTTCTTCAAAGGTGAATAAAAATTACCTGCAGCTGATATGTTGCATCAGCTGTTAGGAGAAATGAATTTGGGATGATAGAATCCTTCCCTCCTCCTAACTGACAAATAAGCAAAGTGATGCTAGAGCTTTGAAATGCTCTACACATTGGATATACACTTGAAATAAAACAGCTGGCACAATACTTGCCTCAATGTAGAAACTGAGCTAACCAATGTGCAATTAATTTTAAATTGTATATTAAAGTACTTGTTCTTTTTCAGCATTTTAGTTAAATATTTATGTGAGCATAGGGAGTTATAAAAGAAATTTACTCCATAAGCAGGCTGTCTTCAATAACCAGAAAGTCAAATAAAGAAATTATAATTCAAGAAGTATTTCATTAGGTTAGACTTCAGTCAATACCGTGACAGTGATCAATAAAGAGACTAGGTTCTTTTTTTCTTGTAACCTCTTAATAGCATGTACTATATTTCTAGTGTTTAGTTGTTTGTTTTAAACCTGGCAACCAAAGTATGTAAATCTGGCTATTAATAGTTATTATGTTCTATATATCATGGGTGTGTAAACCTCTTGGGGAGCTGGGATTCATCAGTTTTTTGCACTAGTTTGCTAGGTTTACTTGAATCTGATTAAGCTAATAAGCAAGAGATATTAACAATAAGTATCAAGTCAATAATCTTTAGAAATTTTGACCAAAAGCACCAAAAAGGAACCTAATTTTTAAAAAGTAGTTTCTGAATTGAATTGAAAGATCCGCTCTGAATCTTCATTACTTTAGTTTGTGGAATGCTGATACAAAAGGATACGTTGATGACAGAATATCCTGCAATTCTTAAAATTCTTTTTATTTCACCAGGTAGAGCTGATTCATACACTATCTCAGTCATTCTTCCTGTAATCCTATATCCTAGGCAAGAGAGATTTCTAGTAGTATTTTATAAATGAGGAATCCTTAGTTTTAGTTATATGACTTATAGCTAGTAAGCTATGGAGCCCAGCATGAAACCTTTGTCTGTAAAACCTTTGGTTTTCCAAGCCTCATTGGTAAGAACATTAAATCATCTGATCTCAGAGGTAGTGCTAAGCAAGTTTGGTTTAATTCCATTTTCTTTCTTTCCTAAATGTTTTTGTTGAGGATGTTTGCTTGCATTTTCTTAGTATGAATCCCTAATAGGGTCAAGGTAACCAAGCTGGGATTAAACATGTAATATGGATAGTTAATAAAAATTTCTTTATGCATAGTTGAGAAGTTATGATATCACATATTCATGACACTATAGTGTTGTCACAATGTTAATTTTTAAAACACACTTAGTATTGTTTGTATCTGTGGCGATTTCAAAAAGATAGTAAAATGCTAAAATACAAGCAAAATGTGAAGAACACTAGGGAAAATCTAAGTAGGCTAAGTCTTGTCCCTGCCCTGAGAGTGAAGAGTTGAAGTTGGGCAGCACTTAGCCACTTGTCACATTTTCTAATTCTTAAAGTGAAGTTGATATTAACTTGTCCTAACCTCCTATTTAGATTTGCTTATAAGAATTAAATGAAGTAAGCAATTTAAAATACTTTTAAAAATATAAATTGTTTTTTCAGAGAATATCAAGTTGAGATTTTAAAAATTAGATTTAAATCTTATTTTGACCATCTGCATATTTGGCGTTTAGGGTTGAGACTGCTGGTGACATCAGCATGCTTCTAAGTCAAAGTTTATCATCTCATTCAGACCTTATAATTAGTGTGGGCTCAGTCCAAAATGGGCCAAGTCCATTTGGCATGTCAGAGAAATCTGGTTAGCTTTCCTATTAGGTGAATGCTGTATAAAGTGCAAAATAAAGGGATCCCAAATAATAGATATAGACACCTACTATTAACCCCAAAAAGGACAACTTGTTTTAAAGTTATTACCAATATGAAGTAGAGACCATTTTAGAGTACAGTGAAACAATTTTATTTTATTTTATTTTATTTTTTATTTTTATTTTTTCCTTTTTGTCTTTTTTACTGACCAGTAATGGGATCGCAAGCCTCGGTGTCGCGCCCGTACCGGGGACCGGCAATGGGATCGCAACCCTCGGTGTCCTGCCCGCACCGCGCTCGCTCAGCCAGTGAGCGGGAACCGGTCTCCACATGGGATCCGAACCCTCGGTGGGAGCGCCGCCGCACTCCTAAGCAGTGCACTCTCCAGTGCGCCACTGGGCTGGCCCAAGTGAAACAATTTTATCTTGCTGAAATTAATTTTTATTTTCACAACATTAAAAAATATTCTGTGTCAGCCTTAAATTTCTTAAAGAATCTATGACCTAGATTTATGTTAAAATAAAGCTACAAACCAAAGTAACATCATACATAGAAAATACAAAATCTAAGTTGCAATATATCCTTGTTTAAAACCAAATTGTGTTTTTTTTTCCTTTTTGTCTTTTTTCGTGTCCGGCAACGGATCGCAACCCTCAGTGTCGCGCCCATACCGGACCGGGACCGGCAACGGGATCGCAACCCTCGGTGCTGCGCCCGCACCTCGCTCAGCCAGTGAGTGGGAACTGGTCTGTATGTGGGATCCGAACCCTCGGCGGGAGCGCCGCTGCACTCTCAAGCGGCGCACTGTAGCAGTGCGCCACCGGGCCAGCCCATGTTGTTTTATTTATTTAACATCTGCAAATGGCAGAATTTAGTAACCTAAAAATCTTAACTATCTGAAATGAAGAGTCATGTATAATTCTGGACTTATATTTTAAATTATTTAGTCCACATTCATTACCAAATACATTCTTTTTAAATTGAATTTTGTGAATGGTTCCTTTGTACCTAAAATACAATTTAATGCAAATTAATTGTTTGTTAAGACTTGTGTCTTTAGGAAGGCTTTTCTGTTGCAAATATAATCAAGTTGTATGTATGATCCTAAACTATCCTTTATTTGGATATCCTTTATTAATATATATCTCCTTTCATTTATCTTGCTTAAGGCTAGATTTGAAAAAGAATAACTCAGGGATAGTTTTTCTTCTGAAAAAAATCCATGTTTATGAAGTCAGTGGTAATAAAGAAAGACTAAAATTGGACTTAGAGCATAGGACTTGAGTTCTTTTCATATAACAGAACGTGTTCATCATAGTGTCCTTGACATCTTCTGGCACGTATCCAAGCATTCTCTCTAAATGCCAAAGATTCTGTTCTTGATTCTTGATTGGTATTCACGAGTCCTGGGTGCTAAGCATGTCTGGTTTAATTTCATTTTCAAGGGTTTAAAAGCTGCTCAGGGTCTTGATGAGAATGAAACACTCAGATTCCACGGCCGTTGTTAAAGTTGGTCTTGGGGGCTGGCCTGGTGGCGCACTGCTACAGTGCGCCGCTTGGGAGCGCGGCGGCCCTCCCGCCAAGGGTTTGGGTCCCACATACAGACCGGTTCCCGCTCACTGGCTGAGCGAGGTGTGGGCGCAGCACCGAGGGTTGCGATCCCGTTGCCGGTCCCGGTCCGGTGCGGGCGCAACACTGAGGGTTGCGATCCGTTGCCGGACACGAAAAAAGACAAAAAGGAAAAAAAGATAAAATAAAGTTGGTCTTGAATTACTTTCCCCTGCTCCGTGCAGCCTATCCAGTCACCCAGGTGCTCACTGTCACCTCACTGTAGGTGGTTTTGTTTCAGCCGGTCAGTTTCCTTTGGCTGCTTAGAAGAAGAAAACTGGAAGGAGTAAGAGGTTTCTGTTTATAGAGTTCTAAGCAAATAAAGCAGGGCTTTTTGTATAGTGTACCTTTTCCTTGGGAGTTGGCATACTCTGTAAAGCACCTCCAGGACACTTTCTATGAGAAATAAACAACAATTCAAATAAAATGGTGGTAAGACATACAAAAACTGGGTGAGGAGCTGTTCACAGATGTGCAATTGTTTGGGAAGAATCAATGCTCATGCAGTAAATGAGACGATCCACGTCTGTAATCACCATTTTGAATCTTCCCATTCATTTTAAGGCACAGGGCAGTCATTTCTACTACCATGTACTTTCATTTTATTGACAAGATTCGGTGATTTGACTATTTTATTGTAGACATGCTTTTGGTAATTGGCAGTAGTTGAGTAATCTGAGGTCAGGAATATCATTTCTAAAATTATACTGCTACATTTAAAAAGATGTCATACCGGGCCGGCCCGGTGGCACACTGGAGAGTGCGCCGCTTGGGAGCGCGGAGGCGCTCCCGCCGAGGATTCGGATCCCATGTGGAGACTGGTTCCCGCTCACTGGCTGAGTGCGGTGCGGGCGCGACACCGAGGGTTGCAATCCCGTTGCCGGTCAGTAAAAAAAAAAAGTCAAAAAAAAAAAAAAAAAGATGTCATACCTTTCCTTCTATTTCTTTGGTCTTGTGTTCACTGTGTCCTCTGTCATTTGTAATTAATATTATATGATGCATTAGTGTTTTTTTGATGACCTCTTGAACTATTAATTAAACAGCCTGCATGAAACAGACAGTCTGACTCTGTCACATATTTGTCTTTTCTATATGTTTACATGCATGCTTTTGATTTTTTCCTAAAGTTTTCGGATGGTGATGTATACTTTAAGACAGCGAGAGCTAAATTATAGATATTTTCATTGCAGGGGAGCATGTGCAGGGAGGAGTAAGATGGGGGATTTTCCTTTCTTAGAAAAACAGATTGAAGTGGTAAATTAAGTGTACAGATATATACATTATAAATAATATCAAATGTCTTTCTGTTTTCTTACCTCTTCATAGCCATATGATGTAAATTTACAAGTAACCTCGGTGTTATCTAGACTTTCTCTCTTCCCTCATCCACACATACATGAGTACCTTCTGGATCCTTATGTGAACCTGGCTTCGGGCTGTAGGTCTCTCTTCTCAGTAATCGTCAGGGTGAGTTAGTAGTTCTTTTATATTCTCTAGGGTTGATAAGCCAGTTCAATTACATCTTCATATCATTGTATAATTAATGTCACATAATAAAAAATATTACATATCTACTGTTTAAAAGTAATTATTATACATTCTGAATTACTTTCCAGAATGTGGGGGAAAAGGTAATTTCATTCTTTTAAATAATATTTATAACTTTTATATTTTAAAGAATAGGTATGAGTCCTTTGTCAAAAATGTTCCTGTGTGTAGTGAAAGCTGACATTCTTTATGTAGTAATAGGAAATCATTTCTTTTTTTAATCCTAAGAATCTCTATGTAGTTGATTTCGGGAACTGATCTCCTTTTCTCTGTGATGCAGGTTGTTGGGGACCTTATGGTTCGAATCCAGCGTATTCAAGACTTTACTCCCAAACTTCTATTAGTGAGAAAGCGATTACTTGGTTTAGAACCTGAAGGCCCTATGTAAGTCAGTGTTTTACATATTTTTTATCCAAAAGTTTCACCAAACTTAATGATCTGCTGATGTCTCGAATTTATTGTCTGCTTTTCCCTTACCAGTATTGACCACATCACGTTGCTAGAGGGTGTGATTGTGTTAGAAGAGTTCTGTAAGGAGCTGGCAGCAATTGCATTTGTGAAATACCATGCTTCTTCCACCCCATAAGTAACGTCTTCCAGGTAATGAGAGGAACAGAACTGTTGTGTACATTTCATCAAAAAAGACTCCTTTCTACCCAACCAAGAGAGGATAAAAAGCCTTTTTAAATGAAGTATTGTTGTAACTGGACACAGAACCATTAAGAACACTCTCAGTGTCTCCGTGGACACAGTCAAATGTTGTATAATGTTGTTCTCATCGGCTTTATCATAATGGTTCTATATATAAAATTGCACGTTGATGAATTATGATACAATCAAAGGAACTTCAGGAAATAAGCATTTCTAATGACTGTGTGAAAAGCTGCAAAATTTCTGATGTCATGACTTTGATGATATTTCTGTTATTTTAATATCCATTAAGGTAGCAAGGCATTTTGACATTCTCCGTAACTCAAATGCTTATATTCTTTTGTATTAATAAGTAGTTTAAAAAAATCACTAATTTTATAACTTTTTAAGGTCAGAATTCTTATCAAACAAAATATGAAAAAAAATGTAAATGAAAAAAAAAATACAGTTCAGGAACCATCAAATGAATTGAGTTAAATATAGGAGATAAAAATATGTAGAGTACCATTAACTTTCTTCAGCTTTTCTAATAATAACAGTTTAATATGATAAAGAAATTCTTGATTAATATATATATTTTTAAAGAAATGTTCTTTTACATTTGTGCATATAGCCATGTTAGTGATTGATTTTCATGAATGGGTCCCAGTTTATTTAAACTGTATCATTTTTACAGCAACGTTGAATTTATGCTTGTCATTGGTAGTGTTTGCTAAAGTTGTATTTTTTTTAAGCTAACATGTACTGGGTTGAAAAATCCTTTTTTTCCCCTGTCCTCCAAAAATTGCTTTATAAAGTTGCTTTATAATTTGATTTTCTTATTGAAACTCATGGTGGTGTCTAGGTGGGGAACTGACTGGTAACTTTTAAGCAGCAATCAAAATACCAATGGCCTCCTTAATGTTTACATTTTTTTTTTCATTTTGTTCAGTCTTTTGTTTTAAATGATTCTGAAGAGATTAAAGAAAGCAGTCTTTTAAATGTTCTGTTTACATGTTAAAGGACTTAGGAAATTGAGTCTGTATGTGAATGGGTGTGTATGTAGGAATGTGTAGTTTAGCAAGCTGTGCTGTGCACAGCATGCTTGGACTTCATTTACCAAATGGTGTTTGCTAGTCCACTTTCTGTTCTTTTACGTGATGCTTGTCACTCAAATATTGCTTTTAAGCTATCAGTTTGTTTGTTTTAGTTGAAATGTTAAGCAGCAGCACTTTCCTCTTTTCATTTACTGATATTTGGGAGAACAGACTATCAAACGTTCCAACTTGAAAGAATCTGTCACTATCCCTTCTAAGAAGTTGTTTTATGTAGCATGTTTGCAGATATACATTGTGTGGTGTGTGCACAGAAGCATGTTTTACACAATCTGCTCATTTTGTTGTATTCGTTTCTCTGATACATATTTTATAGTTTTTGTTGTTTATTACAATATCAAAAGTTTATAAATATCCTCAGCTCTGGAATGCTTACCACTGTTCAAACAACAAAAAGACTAAATTTCTAATTTAATGCAAATCTTTGTTAGCTTATTCTAAGAATTTTTAAGTAAAACAGTGAAAAAAGTAGAAGATAGTTACTTCATGCATGATTTTCTTTGAACGATGGGAAAGCATTATTCAGTTTGCTATATTTGTTGATCAATTCATGCAAGGAACACTGCAACGTCTCCATTTTTAGGTGTAGTTGCAGTCTATTTTGATGTAGGTATACTTAAAATAAGGCCTTAGGAGATATTAGATATTTCTTAATGTTTCATAGTGCTCAATAGGTGTAATGATGTTACCTCTCAAACCAAATACTCTTTTATCCTTGATTTCACAATGGGACCTTATAGCTAATCAATGAGCGCAAGCTCAGAAAAGCTTTACCTCTATATTTATGTGTGTATGCTGCTTCTGAAAATATAATTTTCCTAAGTTATTATAATGACTTTGATCTGTAATCAGCTAAGGCTTAGGGCTTAATTTGTTTCCCTTCTTAGTTTCTCTTCTTTTTTTCATATTTAGTTCAGACCTAGAGCCAGCACAAGTTCTCACCATGAGTTGGATTTGTCAGTGAAACATTGTACTATATCACTAGTCTTTTTCTTACTGTCTCTCAGAAGCTGAATTACTCAGTACTTGCAAAAACAGTGACTAAAATGCACTGTATTGGGTGGAAAGTACCACCTTAACAATTGATTGCCATAGCACGTTCCAAACTGAATTTTAAACTTGCTTCACATTTGTATAAATAGGTATGCACATTTTTTTAAACCTTCTAACAGTATAGTCTTTGGATTTATTTTTAGTAATGAGCTACATTCTTTACTTGATAGAACTCAGATTTGTCTTAGCCAATTATCATGTAATATTCACATTATAATTATGTAATGTTCTCATAATGTATTTGTGCAATATGGAAGCTATGAGTGGATTCATAGCTTTTTGGTTTAATTGTACATTATTGTGTGTGTACATGTATATATATATGTGTATATATATAAGGACCAAAATCCTTAGCTTGCTTACACTGTTGCTAGTGTAAAGATTGTTACACTTAATTTTACAGGGCACAAATTATGGAATTACTTCATAAATTCATGGTAACATATTTCCACAAATTATTGCATTAATATAAAATTACCATTTAATTATGAAGTTCATAGGTATTGACAGAAGAAGTTACAGTGAAGTGCTAAAACCACAAATTATATGGTAATTATATTTTGGGTTGTATAATAAATTGAAATATGCATGTCATTGTGACACTTGATGTGTTAAAACATGATAGATAATCATATTTCTGGGCCCTGTAAAATTTTGCTACTGTAATACTACGTTTTGCCTCCTGCCTTGTTTACATTAAACAGAGGATATTTGGTAAATTTTTCTATTGAACGTTGCGTAGGTTACTGACAGTGTTATCAAGGTCTGGGGTTCTTGAGCCATCCATGGAGAAACTTTTCAGATGCTGATTGTGTACCTACTCGCTCTTCAAAGGAAGTTGTGATCAAGTTCAACTTTTTGTGCTAACAATGCATGCAGGACTAAAAGGGATAATCTAAAAAAATAAATAATGTAATTTAAAGAAAATGTCTTTTTATGTTTTTATAGAATTCTTATTGGAAACATTTTATACACTGATTCGTCTAAAACAGTGATTCTTAACTTTTTCCACCCATAACACGTGGGACATGGCACACTGCAATCAGTGGATCACTATAGTGTTGATTCTAGGGAGAAGACAAGAAGAAATATATTTATCAATATTTGTGAAGGAGGAATGTATGTCTTCAAAAATCTCTGAGTAAACCTCATATATATCCTCCACTTCTATCCTTAATAATCACTGCCCTAAAGGAGAGAATGTTTATGCAAGTGTTAGGAAAATCATTTATCCTAAGCATTATTTCTTAATATTTTTCTAACATATCAAAACTTTCCTTTTAACTGACATTTAAAACAATTAGACCTCAGACCCTAAGTTATTCCATTAACTTGAGTATTGGCACAACCAGAAAGAGAAAAATTGAGTTATTAATCCCAACTACCCAAAGATTCTTTTCAGCCAATGTTATTCAAAATAGTTTTAGAAGGAAATAGAGAGGATAGCAGGTTGAAAGGCTTGAAAAGGCAAGGTTTAGGCACTGAAGAGTTCAAATTACCCTCCTTGCCTTGAAGTACTTCAAAAGAAAACCATTTTAGGAATGCATAACTGGATCCTCAGTACAAAACTTGGTTCAGACTCTGTAAAGTATTTTGCATGTATTATCTAGAAAACTAGTAATCCCAAGGGAATTTAAAGAATTAACATAAAATTGTTGAAGTTTTGCTGGATGAACTCTCAAGTAAAACCTATAGCACCTCCCCCTACCAATGCACAACACACAAATAAGCAAAAACACTACGTGCCGGTTGGTTTGATGCCAAAAGATCCACAGAAGAAATGAAATATGTTTTAGGCCAATAAGAAAGTTGTAGCCTATAGGCTACCTTGTAGAAGACTGGTTTTTAATTTTATTGGATATAGACCCCACTCTCCACCTCAGGAGAGCCATCTAAGCCTGTTTCATGCACACTCACTACTGAAAGTTGTAGCCTATAGGCTACCTTGTAGAAGACTGGTTTTTAATTTTATTGGCTATAGACCCCACTCTCCACCTCAGGAGAGCCATCTAAGCCTGTTTCATGCACACTCACTACTCTTATGGTTTGACTGTTGTATGCACTAGAGATTTTTCTGTGTTACAATATCATTTCTAAAAATGTATCAGAAACATAACACTTATCCCACCAAAAAACAAGGTAAGAATTTTGCTTATTCGACAAATATTTATTGAGAACTTTCTATGAACCAGCTATTAGGATGCTAGGGGAAAAGAAACAATTTCAGCCCTCAAGAAAGCAGTCTTGGTTCAATGTGTTTACACAAATAAATTAGACATTTGTGAACACTGTCAAAGAAACAGTACCCAAGTGGTGTGGGCACCAGGGAAAGTAGTGTTACAGCTCATCTAAAAGGGAAAATCTGAAGCTCAAATCTTGACTGGATTATATTCTTACCTTTTAGTATATTATTATATATTATATATATTATTCTTACTCTTGGATTATATTCTTTTGAGATATGCCAGGTATTCTGGCATAACATAAAAATGTCAACTCAGTAAAAAATAGAAACTTGCAATATTCTATTTGCCATGCTTAAGTGTTTCCTTTCACTTCATTCTGAGATTGGTATAAAGCACCAGCCCAAACAATTGTGCTTTGGGGCCCATGTTGTCTCAGTTTATGAATACCAATTAACTTCTGATTTAAGTGATCTCTTTCTAGAACTGTTATATACAGAGAAGGCAAATAGCCAATTTTAATATTAAAACCAAAAGATTTAGTTGGCCTTTAAAAATGACCCAAAGATTAGGGTAAAATCTGGTTTAGCTAAAATATTTGTAGGGGAGATCCAATCAAAATGGCGGAATAGACAGTCCCCAGCGTCACTCTCTCCCACAAATCAACCAAATTTACAACTATAAAAATGTAACATCAGCCAAGACGGGGCCGCTGGAGCTCAGGGGAAGAGGAGGAGAGACCTATGGAGTTCATGAAGGCAGGAGAAACTACAATGAGAGAAAGCAAAAGCTGCTCTGAGCATTTCGGGCTGCGGCTGCTTTAAGGCTGGAGCTTCTGAGAGCACAGAGCATGGAGCAGGAGCTGGCAGAAGCCACAGCTGTGTCCTTCAGATGGAGTTGCTTGGAGGCGGCAGGAGAGAAGAGGGCCTTGGAGGCCCCAGGACAGCAAGACCACTAACAGGATTCCCATGGACCCACGCAGGAGCGAGGAGCCAGAACAGCTGAAAAAAAGGAGCCACTCAGAGGCCGGTGAGTCATCACAAGGGACCAGTACAGGGCCCATCACATGGGAAGTGTTTGCAGCACGGGTGCAGGGTGGGGGGGGAGATGTGCCCACCAGGGGAACACTGGGACACAGCAAGGACAGCTGATCTGCCCCCCAGTCAGCACAGGACCACTCAGAGGAGACTTGTCAGGAATGCAGAATTGCATGGGGTGCAGTTTGATAAAAAAACTCAGGCCCAGATCAGAGATTCTACAGAACACAGATCCACCGGCTCTCTGGAGAGCTGGAAGTACCTATAAGGTCAACCATTAAACCCTGAGCTGCACAAAAAGCCTTCCCTAGGGAAACAGCAGCAAAGCAGCAATTTAAACAACCACATAGCTCAAGTACTGGTTCCCACAGGACGTTCCCCCATGTTAGAAGCAAAGGACAAAAAATTAGTTCTGGCCCAGGCACACCACCAGCACCTTGGGGCCTGCCTGGAAACGGGAGGCTTGGATCTAAGGACTGGACCCCACTCCCACTTCCAAGGAAACTGCACCAGTGCGTCGGGGCCAGCCTGGAGACCTGAAGCATGGGGAAGGGGACTGGACCCCCCTCCCACAACCAGGCACAACAGGCCAGCACCTTGGGGCCTTCCCAGGGAACCGAGGCAAGACTCATAGTCCCAGGGCATGGAGAAGGGGGACCGGACCACCCTCCCACAACCAGGCACACCACGCCGGCACCTTGGGGCCCGCCCAGGGACCTGAGGCTTGGAGAAGGGGAATGGACCTTTCCCCCACAACCAGGCACACTGTGCCAGTACCAGGCACATGGCACCAGCGCCTTGGGGCCTGCCCAGGGAACAGAGGCATGGAGAAGGGGACCAAACACACCCCACAACCAGTGTCAAGGAGCATGCCAAAAATAGCACCTCCACATGGGTGGCCCACCACAGCCACCACAATAACCAAGGCTGCTGCAAAAGCGGCTAGACGCCACAGCCACCACACAGATGGTCCACCAGCCACTGGAGTGCATTCACACAAGAAGAGTCANGTTCAACCCCCAAAATATGTATAATTGATTTTGATTCAATAAATAAATTCAAAATAAATAAAATAAAATAAAATATTCGTAGAATCAAACCTTTCTCCTTACTTTTAACTCAGTGCTCCCATGACAACATTCTTTATTGTTACCTCGGTCGAGGCACCAAGTAGCCCGCTGAGGTTGACGGAGGCAGGAGAGGTGAATTCAGAAGCCACACGCTGCGTATGTGTGGAGAGACGGAATGTGTAAACCTGCACCAGGCTCTCATCCCGCAGTTCCCATCCCTTCCTGAAATTTAAGCCTGGGGTCAGGCTCAAACCTGCCAGTGAGCAAGAGGAGACTTGACTTCTGTTTCCTTCATACCCAGTCTTCTGAGGTGACTTCAAGGAGGAAGTCACCTCATCTCCCAAGCATAAGTCTAAGGAGTTAAAGAAAATTTAGTGTGCTTTATAATTTTATATTATGACCTTACTCTTCCCTCTAGTTAGACTAGTCAGTATATTGAGGAACCAACAGGCATTCTCCTTTTAAAAAGGAAAAGAAAAAGGCATTAAGGTAATAATTCTCTTGACGAAGTAACCAAGTCCTGACGTGAAAGTAGAACCCATTAGCAGAGTGCCAGAAATCTGAACACTACCGTGCGTCACTTTGCTCTTATATCAGGAGGTGAGGGTGGGGAGAAGAAAGGCATCCTTTGATTTTTGTAGCTGTTAGTTTATAATGATACCCATGTGAGTGATGCACATTTATTTGCATGATGTTGTCACTGAATTCTTAACGAAATGTTTAATTCCCATGATGTGCTAAAGGCTTCAGGGTTGATAATCAGTTTAGAGGATCCAGAAGAGCCAAGATCACAACCTGGTCTAACGAGCCACTCTCTTTTCAAGGCCGAGAACTACAACCAGAATTGCAAGCTTGAAGAGCTAGATGTGGCTCAGAAAAAGAGAACTGG